ATTTCATCCATTTTCCATGGACCATCACCCTCAAGAGCTTTCGGCCCCAAACTCTGATCTTTTATTCTGTTTCATAAATGCCAAACTATAAACCACGCATGCATAAATTGTTAGCTTTGACCACATGGCCACATAATTTGACCGGTTGTATTTTTGTGCATGGCGCATGGGAGGGCAAAATCAACAGGACCAATATACAAATCAACCAAAAATATTTCGAATGAGATATAAATTGGAAGAGCAGGTTTCAATTGGGTTTGCCTATTTACAAATTAATCAACCCATTCACGTGCCAACTTTTCCTGGAAATGACTAGGTGGTGAATATGATTTACATGGTACTGAGTTCTACTAAAGACTGAGTACTTTTTAAGTCTGGCCTAACCGCGCCCTCTCATAGAATAGGGAGGGATTCAATTCCCCCAAGCCACGCTTGGAGAGACATTCTCGATCTAGAAATGCCTGGATAAATGTTTGGGAATTTCTTGTGTGTTTATCCTGCGTAATATAATATCACTTGGGAGAACCTAGATCAAGCGACTTGTAACTTGGGGTTGAGTTGGATACCTATGTTCATTTGTAATGTGTAATTTTGATGTGGACTGCCTTGTAATTTATGAGGTATTTGGGGTAGAAACAAAATCATTGTTTTAAAAATATTTTTACAATATATGAAATAAATATACAAAAAAATTTATCTCGATTTATGAAAAAATACTCTTTAAAAGTAATTTTTGAACAATCCAAGCACTTCTTAGGGAATTATAAGAACCCTCCCGGAGATAGAAGGTTGCATGTTCAATCCATTTATGTATTTGCTCCAAAAAAAAATAAAAAAATACGTATTTTTTTCATAGCAAAAAAAAAAGATTATGCAATAAATCAAAGTTAAGAATTCAAATGGGTCGTAAAATATAACTTCAAGATAAACAAGCTATCGGCTGAAAAGGGGGAAACACAAACGCAAAACGCAACTTCTTCCAATTAATTGTATGTTCCTGCTTTCTCTGTCTTGTGATATGAATAAATAATTGAGGGAGGATCGTACATGAGAGTACAACTGTGCAAAGGTATGTAGTAAGTACAGGAGCAGAGGCACCAGTAGAAGCAGATGGAGGTGCCCTGGGCCTCATTCAAAGAATCAGATCCCTCCAAAGGGACACGCGTCTCCCAGCGGCCCACTCGCTCGGCTCTTACATCAATCAAAAGCATCGCCTCTGCCTCGCCCCATCCACGTGTCGCCTCCCTTCTTGGACCCCACTCCCCACGAGGTTCCCATAATTGAACGCCAACGACCTCCACAACTCACGCATCAAATGACACCTGTCCCTCCTTTTCCCATACGTGTTCCTTTCCGTACACATCTGGCTTCTCTTCCACCCTGGCTCTGTCCCCACCCTGCACCCTCCCCCACCGTATTCCCACCGAGAGAATCCGATGCCCGCGCCCTACAATGCCAACCATGCGCTCAAATTATACCCGCCAATAATAATGAGTATGGCATTTTCCCACGGCAATCTTGTCGCTGCGAAATTTAACCGGAAAAATTATAATGAGATTTAAAAAAAATATTATAAAAAAGGTTTTAAGTTGTCATTTTTATTTCAAGACTTGTCATTGCAGATTATTTATATTGTTATTGAAATTTTTAATAATAATTTTTTCTTTAAGATCTCATTATAATTCTCCTAGTTTAATTTTCTAAATTAAGCAATTATACGATCACTTTTCTATCTTAATATTAGAGTTAGTTAGAGAACTAGATTTAATTCTAAAAATAAGATCTCAGTCAACTTTGTCTTCCAAACATATAGAGTAATGTTTTATCTAAAATGCACTCCCTCTAAGACTACAATCTTCATTCCTTAATATAAGAACTTATTTGACTTTTATTTTGGTTCTAAATATAAGATTCTAATTCACTTTGTCTCTTATATTTATCTAGGTATTCATTGTAATAATAATATTTTTAGTAAACACACTTTATTAGTAAGGATATTTTAGAAAAGATAATACTTATTTATTATAAATAACTAATTTAATTAATTTTTTTAATCTACTCAGATTAGTAATTCTAATAAATTAGTTCCAATAAATTACTAAAGAGGATAATTTTAAAAAAATCAATACATATTTGTTATAATTAACTGACTTGATTAATTTTTTAAATTAGTTTTCTAATTTTTATATTAATAATATTAGCTAATGTATCATACACCCACCCGTATTTTGAGGATGCGAAGTATGGAACTTATATGCAGGCACGCGTGTGTTGGTTTCATGGCACGGTGCCAAACATCGAAAATTAAAAAGATTACCTGTGCCTTTTCGAATAAGCCACTTAAAATTTTCCAGATCAGCCATTAGACTTGACTTTTGACAGCATATCGCCATGAAACCAATCTTTTTCAGTGCCCGGGACTTTTTGATCACACCAGAGCTCAATTATCAGGTTATTGTTCATTCTCGTGTTGAGTTTATATTCATCACGGCAATATCCCTCACATTTCCGGGCATTCAAATCAAACTGATCTTCAATTTCGTTTTCATCATCACAGCCCAGAAATCTCATCACGTACCGGAAAACGAACCCCCGTGACTAATTTGACGGTGTTCGAGCGTCGTTTTCTAACCGGAAATGAGATGAGATAATGTGGTGTTTTATAATAGCTTCAAGAAAATTATTTTTACTCTGTATGGGATTTATTTTGCTAAGCATAAAGATAGTCACTGTAGGAGATTCCGAAAACCCCAATCAGTGCCACTACGATCCTTCCTTGCTTAGATACCTCCACCTCTATGGCAGAAATATTTTGGTATTGAAGGCAAATAATGCTCAACTATAGATTTTCTACATAGTTATGAATTCATAATTTTAATCATTCGCTTAGATGGAAAAGAAAAGAAAACCAAACCCAACCAAACATTTGGTCAAAAGAAACAAAAAGATGGAATACCAAACAAGTTTCTCGCATTCATTCTAACTGAGCTATACCTTACCGACAGTGTTTGGATAGAAACCAAACTATGGTTTCAGAAGTGTTTTTACAGTTTACGAAATAAATATGTGGAGGAATTTGTCTCATTTTAGGAAAAAAGTGTTTCTAAAACCATGGTTTGGAGGTTGCCAAACACCCTCATAGTATTCATCCATTGATGTAAGAACTACTTAAATAATTTGATTATATTAAAAAATTAAGTAAGTTAATTATTAATAAAAAATATAATATTTTTTTAAATATCATAATTATCTTTTTTAACATTTTCCTGTTTGATTTATGGTTGAGAGAGTATCAATATGGTAATTTAAAAAATTAATAAATATAAAAAAATATGTTTTATATTTAGGATAAAAATCAACTGAATAATTAAATCCTACATTAAGAAGTGGAGCATACAAGAATACTTTTGTTATATTAATGTTTTTTTTAAAGTTAATATACCTACATTTTCCTTATTTTGAGTTGGCTTGTTCAGAAGTGTTCACTAATAAATACCACTATTAGAAGACTCTTTTTTTTTTTTTTTTTTTAATTGGGTTCCTGCCTAGAAGGTTTGAACTGTGAACTAGTATTAAGAGGATGAGGAATGAAGATTTTTTTTTTTCTTTTTTCGAATGGCAGCATCATCTTTCTAAAATTAAATATATACAAATTCAAAATTACATTTTTATATTTTCATCGCCCTAAAAACTACACTGCGGAACACAGATTACGAACAACTTTTTCCAAAGAGCAACCTTTTCTAATTCATCACCAATTCATGCCCTAAAAATCAATATCTTTTTTTTTTTTTTAAATTTTGCGGGTGCAACATCAGAAATTGTATTCAAAAATTAAATTCAGTGCCAAATTTTATAACCGCAACTCTTCGATATCATAGGCAGACTTTGAAATAATAATAAACCAATACCACTTCCAGGCCTAAATAAAACACGAGAGAATTACAATCAAGTTTTGTACAAGAGAAATAACTACTAAAAGATTTAATAATAACTTAAACAGCCTGTAATGACAAATCCTAGAACGGAAAATAATAACATCTGGAACTTGTTTTGTAATTTTTTTTCCTTACATAGAATCTTATTATAATACTTCCTTAAAAGATTTCGTTTACAATTTATAAACGATGTCATATGATTGAAACCGAAAGCAGTACTGCATTTGCGCTCCATTTGATTATTTTGGGGAAACCAAGAAAGCTATATGAATTATTTAACCACAACACATGTAATACCATGTTTCTAAGATACTTTTCAGTATCATTATACTGTATATTGATTCATAATTCCAACAAATTAATTTAAAAAAATAATAAATATAAATATTTTAAAATAATTTACTTATTTTTTTTAATTTATCAAATTGTTTAACCAAATCTTGTGTATGATTGGATGTAGTAGCATATTGGACTTCACACACGTGTATTGATAATATTTTAAAATATTTTGATGGCAAAATATATTGTAAAATATGCTTTCAGTAAGTCGTCACAATTATAAATGGTAGACTATTACGATGACCCCTATGATTAAAATATTGAAATGGATCAGAGAAAACAAAAAAAAGGAGGGGACGAAGTCTGATAAAATAGTATTTGCATATAGTTAATTAATATATATATATTTTCAAGAATCATTCCTTCGTACAAGTATGCACTTGCCACGTTACTGTGGAACATAAATGCTTTCACTGTTTAGCGGAGAAAGGTCGTGACAGAAAAGTGAAGGAACTTAAAGGGATTGCCAGGTGTCCCCGTTAGTCTAATCATCATAATCAAACATCTATTATGACTCCACGGACCCTCCCTCTTTCATCGCTGCCCGTAGATCACCGGCGACCTTACACTGACCAATCTCGACCGTATATCTATACCCCTCTATCATCCTCAACGTGGCTGCGACGTAGATTATCCGTATCTCCGAGCTGCCGATGATTGCAACGTGTGATGCACGATATGGAACGAACAGGATGCAATGACGTGGAAAGAATATGGTTCTTCTCAAAACACATCAGTTCGCGTCCGATGTTGCTTTCTTCACTTATAGCCAAGGGACGCCAACCCCATACAGGGTGATCGATTGAGCGAGAAAGGAAGTGAGAGAGAGAGAAATAGAGAGAGAGAGAGAGAGAGCGATGAGGACAGAGACGACGAGGGATGGACCTGGAGCTCTGTTGAGCAATGGACACATGGGAAACTTGTCAAGCTCTAGATTCTCGTCTCTTCTTGCCTCCAAAGATCGTGATTTTCTGCTATCTCCAACTGGGTCTCAGGTTCTCTTTCTCGTTTCTGCTAAATTTAGAAAATTTAACAGTGTGTGAAAACTTCTATATATATATTCCGGCTTCTTCCATTGTTCTGTGTATAATTTTGTGTGAGATGATGCCCGTCCTATACTTTATATTGGCCGAACTTTGCTCAGAGCTCAACTTTATATACTTTGCCGGAAAAGAACAAAAAGTTCTCTGGCGTCTGTTGAATGACACCACCTATATAAAAGAAAAAGGAAAGTTGATTTCGTTTCTAGCCGCTAATTAATTAATATTTATATAAGATACTTTTGTTTATTGGGTGACTTCAGCTCCGCTCATTGTCCTCTATCTGTCTATTGTAGTGGATATGATTAATTTAAAAATGGTTTATGTAGATATTACGTCTACAACGTCTGATTTCTTTATACGAGAGACGGACTTTAGCCAAATATTCAGTCAGTCCTGCCCATTTTGTGCAAGAGATGAACACGAGCCTATGAGTCTCTCTCTCTCTCCCCCCTTTTGTTGTTTCAAAGAAGTTGTGGGATCCTTTGTACAGATCCGACCTGCCGAGTGCCGACACCTAATGCTTGTGATGCCCCCCAATTCATGAGGCGTCAGCTCATTATTAACCAAAGTTTTAGCGTTTGTAATAACCTGGTAATTAACCTCAGATACATTCTCATTAACTGGCCTCTGATCAGTAGCAAGCTCATCAAACATGTACATATATAATTAGATGTATAGTTTTTACCTCAACTATGACATTGTTTTCCGCTTGAAAACCTGCGAAATGAGGAGCGCAGCTGAGAACTGGGCCATCAGAGTCCTTTTTCTTGTTCCCAGATGAATGAGGTATTATCAGAAAAGCATCTAATTTGGACAGATGGTTGACTTTCTAATCCTTATGATTCTTCGGAATAATTATTGATTTGGCTTCATTTCCTTAGATAATTGAGACTGTCGTTAAATCTAATGGTGGTTCCCACCGACGCAGGTAGAATTGAAGAGTTGTTTAGAACTTTTCTACTTCTGTATCAAAAACCAGACTTAAGAGCGACTCCTATATATGATAAGGTGATCATTTGTGGCATTATTTTGCTGGCTTTTGGGTTGCTTTGCTGGGGTTATAACTTCTATATGACTCCTAATCGCTTAGTTTTCAAGAGTGTTAGAACTCACGAGCTGCACATGTCTAAAGTACGAGTCCCTATCCGTGTACGTGAGATTCCACGCTGTGCGTGTTGTGGACAGCCAAGCATCCCAGTCGAAAGGACGAGTGTTACCTATAAACCATTCCTTTAGCCCCGCATTAACGTTGTTGCTTGTACACGTGGCCCATTTAGGTGCCCGGTCCTTTTCCTATATCATTTGTGGATATGATGAGAATCAACATCCTTCTGTTCTTTATTAGCACCCCTCCTTTCATATCCGTTGTACCAAATTTTTGTGACTTCTGATTTCTCTATTTTTTTTATCAATCAATCATTTTGAAAAAGATATAAGATGTATGAATCTGATTTAAATAATGAACCCCGGGCCGCTGCACTTCCATCACAACTCATATTAGCAACCTTTTTAATTATATGATTGCTAACTGGGTGGGTAGATGTATATTGTGGGTGCAGGTGAAAGTCTGTGATATTGAAGGGAAGGTGGTGGGTCTTTTGTTCGGTGCTAACTGGTACGCACCATGCCGGAGATTCACCGAAGTGCTGGTTTGCATATATGAGGAGCTCAGGAGCAAGGTCCCAGGTTTTGAGATTGTGTACGTGTCCTCCGATGAAGACTTGAGTGCCTTTGAAACCTATTATGCACAAATGCCGTGGCTTGCGATTCCATTCTCTGATCTGGAAACAAAGAAAGCCCTGACCAAAAAGTTCGATGTCGAAGGTATTCCTCGTTTAGTAATACTGCTACCCAATGGTTGTAACAAGGACGAGGCTACTGTAGATGATGGGGTTGAACTCATTTACCGCTACGGGGTCGAAGCTTATCCGTTCAGTAAGGAGAGGCTGGAGCAACTGAAGAGGGAAGACAGAGAGAAGCATGAGAATCAGACACTGATAAATTTACTGACAAACCATAATAGAGACTACGTTTTGGGTCCACCTCAAGCTGATATCAAACAAGTACCTGTTGCTTCGTTAGTGGGCAAAACCATAGGACTCTACTTCTCAGCCCAATGGTGCCAGCCATGCCTCAACTTCACTCCCAAACTGATATCAGTCTACCACAAGATCAGGAGGACGGTGAGTGAAGCTGGAAATGGAGAGGACTTTGAGATAGTGCTGGTATCAAGTGATCGGGACCAAGCTTGCTTCGATTCATACTTCAGTGGTATGCCTTGGCTGGCACTGCCTTTTGGGGACCCAGAGATCAAGAGACTTGTGAGGCACTTCGATGTGCAAGGGATACCAACCTTGGTGATATTGGGTCCGGATGGTAAAACAATAACCAGAAATGGCAGGAACTTGATAAACTTGTACCAAGAGAATGCGTATCCCTTCACTGATTCCAGGGTGGAGCTTCTGGAGAAACAGCTTGAAGAAGAGGCCAAGGATTATCCGAGATTGGTATGCCATGAAGGCCATCACCATCATCTGAATCTGGTATCTGATGGCAATGGAGGAGGCCCTTTTATCTGTTGTGAGTGTGAGGAACAAGGCTCAAGCTGGGCCTACCAATGTCTTGAATGTGGGTATGAGGTTCATCCTAAGTGTGTGCGAGCTCCTTCATCTTGATCGTCTTGGGTTGGTGAGACCCAAATATTCTAAACTAATCAAAGCTAATCTTCTGTGTTGATTGGCCTCCTTCACATTAATTAGGCTCTCGACTATTCTGTTTGCTTTTTGATATATGTAGGTTGGGTTTCTGGCTGCTTTTTACTTGTTGCTTTTGTATGACCGGAGCATGGCCATAAGCGGACTTGTGAGTTGTGATGTGATTAGCTAGTGGCCCAATCAATTTAAAGTGTGAATTAATTGCACAATGATTGTCCTTCAATGGACCTGGCTATCTGAGTAGAATTTGCATTTTCTAAAGTGATTTTGAATATAATTGAGAAAAGGGGCAATTGGAAAAGGAAAGGATAATGGACTTGTTTCTGCTGACCTCATTTCTTTATTTCAAGAGAATCACACCTGGATTTTGTATGTTAAAATGGGTGGACAATGCTTTCATTAACCTTTTTAGGGGGGTGTTTAATAATCCTAAAAAGTGCTTTTGAAAATAATTTTTTCGTCAATTGGGATAATTTTTTTTACATATTTATTTCTTATACCGTACTTTTAAAATTATGATTTTATTTCTATCTAAATACTTTTTTTTAATTTTTGTGAATGCCAAGTATTTAGCATGGTAGAAAACGGTTCTAAAAAGTTTGTACTTTTAATGTTGGCTTAAAAAAGTATGCACTGGTTCAATATAGTCGTCCAATTTATTCATAAAAGAATTTAATCATAAGAGGAACAACTTAAACGAAAATTAGTTGAAATTTGAGACTTATCATAATTCATAAATTGGGTGCCACGTGTCATCAATTATAAACGACCAATAGTTGATTTACTCCTCACGATTCGCGAGTGGGGGATATCGGGGAAACACGTCGTCGTTTTACTTGGAGGCGCCAGTCCGCGGTTCTTACGTCCTCGTTTTTATCCAACGGAGGACGGGGCAGTGAAGGAGAAGATGCTCTGGCTTCACTCTTGCACATGTCCCGGTGCTTTCACAGCAAAATCATTTCGTGCCTCACCTGCTTTCTTCTCCGCTAGGGGTCGGAATCATGAATTCCCTCTCGGAGTTGCGAGAACAATTAGAGGCTGTTGTGGTTTCGACGGAGCCTTAGGCTCCGATGGTGAGCCAGAGCCGGTCTTCGCTAAGAGGACGAATTACGCCGGCGTGCGGTTGGAGGAGACTGTTGAGGCCGGTTCAGGAAAGCTGAGGCTCGATTCTTGGATATCTTCCCGCATCAACGGCATAAGTAGGGCTCGTGTGCAGTCAAGTATTAGAGCGGGGCTTGTTCATGTCAACGGCCGTGTTGTTGATAAGGTAAATCTCAATGTCAATGGAAACTCTGTTTGAAGTTTGTGTAATGTCGGAGGTGTGTTACTTCGTTGTGCTTGTTTGTGTGTAGTAAAACTGACCATTTTTCCAGCATCTTGCGAGGAAACGTGGCCATATGTGATGAGGGAAGTATCTGTGTGGTTAACCGACTTCATTTGTGAAGTTTAATAACACAAAGCATCATGACTAATAAGTTCATGAATCTGAGATGTGTGATGTCTTCGAAATCCAAGGAAGTATGGCTAATGCTTAGACTAGACTCATACACTGAATCTCTCAGTTTCTTATGGAACTAATCTCTTTGTGGAAACTGTTCTAATATTGTTGGTGTTCATCGTTGCGCTTATAAACTTCAAGAATTCATCATTACTTAGGTGCATTACATTCAACCTGGATTCATCGGTATTGTTTGAGCATGCCTCTGTTTTTATTTTAGCGCTGTGGTTGTTGATCGATCATTTCATGGATTGAATCATTGAAAAGAGCGATTTGATGTCAATTGACGTAACAAACATGCTTCTTATCCTCGCCTTAATTTTTCCTTAAAGTAACATGGGAACTTTATTTCATTGTACCTGTTAAAATCTCTAGTATCTTAATTTCTGTAGCAGCTTCCTGGATAAAGGAATCAGCTTGTGTTTAATGATTGTTTGAGCAGGTTTCTTTCAATGTCAAGGCCGGGGATAAGATCAATTGCACGATTTCAGAGTTACAACAGTTGAGAGCTGAGCCAGAACATATGGAGTTGGATATTGTTTATGAAGATGAGCATGTGCTAGTAATTAATAAACCTGCACACATGGTAATTCCAAGCCTATAACTCTAAATATTTGACAGGCGTGAAGCATTATTCAGAAGGTATTGTTAATGCCAGACAGGGTCAAACTATTGACTTGATTCATTCTTCAACTCAGGTTGTGCATCCAGCACCTGGAAATACATCTGGCACTCTCGTCAATGGCATTCTTCACCATTGCAGCCTTCCAAATGTTGAAATTTCAAACAAGGAAGCTCTTTCAGAGACTGAAGATTCTGATGATGATTTTGATAGCTACTCTATTCGTCCAGGTTCCTGTGAAGGTTTACAATCACATTCCAGCATGTGTGGAGCATCAGTCCGCCCAGGGATTGTGCATAGGCTGGACAAAGGCACTAGTGGACTGCTTGTTGTGGCGAAGGTAAAGTTTGATCCTGTGGAAATTAATAACAAGCTCCCACCCTTGGCAAAACATTGGAATCCTTGCTCTCTAATGCCATAATAGACTTACATGTGATTTTTGTCTCCCCTTTCTATATGCTTTGATGGCAGGATGAACATTCCCATATCCATTTATCAGAGCAATTCAAGCTACGTACTATCAAAAGGGTGTATGTCAGTCTAACTGTTGGGGTTCCCTCTCCAACTGCTGGACGTGTTGAGGTTCCAGTTGGCCGTGACCCTAATAACCGGCTTAGAATGACTGCTGTAGCTGGATCGGTTAATTCTAGAAAAGCCCGTTATGCTGCTAGTAGGTGATTCACCAAGTAATATGATTTATATTTGGTTGCTGCTTGTTATATTTTACTATGGGTAAATGAAGTCCACATATGTTAAGTAACAACTAAAACACGGACAAAAATACTTATGGTGTGTGTGAAAATAATGAGATTTGATTTTCTTTTATATGAGAGTTTAATATGCCTTGACAAAATTGCTTTAGGATGGTTTATTTTTGCGAACTTCGTGTCTTGTAATTAAATGATTAAAACCGAATTGAATGGGCGAAAATCTTACCTTGTGCAATCTATTAAGTTGTTATTCATGGTGTTAATTCCACGTGTTTAATTGACGGTTACTTGTATTAGGTACAAAGTAACTGAGATACTTGCTAAGGGTGCCTGTGCATTGCTTGAATGGAAGTTAGAAACTGGGCGTACTCATCAGGTATTTCATGGTATATAGCTTGAAAACGAGATGTTAATGATTTATGGTATCATCATGTCAGTGGGATCTTGGGTAAATTTTGTGGGGCCCTCTGAACAGAATATGAAAAATAATGTTGGGTCGAAGCTTTTCTGGGAAAAACTACTGGCTACTTCCTTAAAGGCCTTTGCTTGATAGCTGAAGATATCATCTGACTCATGAATTCATTTTTGATGGTGTGATTTGATATGAACTCGATTTGTCTTCTGTCCATCCATCAAGAGTTACATATTTTCTGATCTAAAATAAAAATGAATGTTATTGAGCTTCGAGTTCATTGTGAATGTTAGTGGGCTGAATCACAGCCCCCTACCATACCTGAAAGAAAGGGGAAACCCTGTAACCCATGCTCTCCTGGTTATTTTAGATACGTGCGCACTCTAAGTATCTAGGAGTTCCTTTGCTGGGTGATGAGGTGTACGGAGGGACGAAGAGCATGGCCTTATCACTTCTTCAGCCCAGAACACCGACGAGCTTGCGGGGCCAAATTGTACAGATGGTATCTAGGCTAGATAGGCCTTGCCTTCATGCTTTGACTCTTGGGTGAGAGGATAAAGCCATCTTACAATTTAATGGCTCTCAATTTCCCATTCAATTTGCAATGAAAACTGAGAAGAGAATGTTATTTTGCAGATTTCGGCATCCCCATACAGGAGAGCAGTTGCATTTTTCTTGTCAACCCCCTGCAGACTTTGATGAGATTTTGAGCCAGCTTCGGACAATTGGCTGAGAGTCCATCTTTCTTGCAGCCTTGAATTTCATGACAAGCAATTTCAGTAATCGAGTTTTGCCGCTTCACTATTGTCTCCACTTCCTTTAATCATTGCCAGACATGAAGGCTTAGAAGAAACGTTTATCATGAAAGGCATTAGGAATACACGGAATATGGATTAGCTTAGCCCACCCCGACGCACAACTCATGACGGCTTTTTTGGGGCCTGCACGTCGATTTTGGATGAAACAATTAAAGAGGAAAATAGTAATTGATGAAATTATTTTAATTATTTCATGTAGCATTATTCTTTGGACGAAAAGTGATGTGGATTTCAAGCTTTTGTGAGTTATCGCCATCTTCTCATCTCATTATCTAATCATCTTCCTATGAAACTCGCAAATTTAAAGCTGGTTTCTGCTGCTTAGTGCTATGTTTGGATCAACATTCTCTCGTCCTGTAGATACTGTCATTCATTCCCTCTCTCCATCTCTTTTCATTTCATCATAATGTATATGAAGCCCCTATTGGCTTGATTCCAAACACGCCATAAAAGGTTTTCAATTCATGCTACATGAATAAGGCGTCTCAAGAGGCAAAGGGAGTGAAATATCTGTCTGCATTAAGCAATGTTAACCAAACAGTAGACATATCAACAACACGATACATCAGCATATTAAATCACAATCCATCCGCCAAAAGAATCCGAACATTATATGATATGTATCCATAAAGCAGGATTTAAGGTCTTTTCTGATACCTAAAATCATAGGAAAATATTCTATCCTTACAACATCTGAAGATGCTTCGTTGCTATTACTGTCCAGGAACAAAGTCATAGAAGACTCAACTGGCAGGAATCCTGATGCAGTGCGGAAAATCTGAAAAGCCTGTCGGGAAAGATAATAGATTTGGCACCAAGGGATTTTATACCGAAAACATCAATCATGTCAATGTGCAATCACCTTATAACTAAAATCATGGAAAAATATTCTACACCGGTAACACCTGAAGATGCTTCTTTGTTAATCCTGTCTGGGAACAAAGTCATACAAGACCCAACTGCCAGGAAAACTGAAAAGCCAGTCAGGAAAGATAATATATTTTATACCAAACTAAACATCCATCGGTTAGATGTGTAAGCAACTTAGAGACTTAAATCAGAAAAACAAGAGCGCGGACACAAAGGCAAAATAAAGATGACAGCACGGAGCTCAAAAGTATACTCAATTGGCAAAGAATAAAAATGAACTCAATGTTATCTAAATCCCAAATTTCAAACATGTATCAATTAGCTTTTATCCTAGGATCTAAAATAGCATAGCTAATGCGGGGGGGTATTCACTTTACACACTATTCTTTCTTCTGTTATCCTCCGTGCATCAATAAGATGAAGGGTCAAGCAAGGATAGCCAAAGAAGATCAGACAATGAATCGACAATGATTTTCATACAAAACCATAAAAATTCGGACAAGTCAAAGAGGTTAACGAAGAGAATGGATGCGAAAATAACATTACATGAATACAGAGAATTCAAAATATGATGAAGGAAAAATGCTTGGAGCACCACCATAGTCAATTCAGCCAAAAGTTAAATGTGGAAAACCACAGGCCATACAGCATTTGAGAATATGACCAAGAGAGGAAAAATACAATGATGATATAATTTAGAGTCCAAGATGGTACCTAACGAGCATATATTTCAGGAAATCATATTCTAATTTAAGGACTGCACCTATAAATTCAAGGTATAGTATTCCTCAGGAACTAGTCGTTACAACATACTGGTCAACTGTGGCACTCAGTCATGCATGAAGACACTAACTGCATAAACATCGCCTAATATTCTTCGACTAAAGACTGCCCAAAACAAACCAGAAACCAGATACGTTCGAAAAAGAGATAAGATATCCGTAATTGAAGAATATGACAGGCAAAGGGCACCATACCGCAAATGCACCATAACAATTGTTAACTAATGAACAAACAATATCGAACGACCACAAAAACAAGAAAGCCAAAACATTTCAGTACCGAATCAACATGGGTAGCTCGTTTAAAGGGGGAAGAGGGAGAGGCTACTGAATAGGATATGCAACAACCCGGAAAAAACATTCATGAAAACAGACAAATTGTGGTGCTAGTGTGCGTTCCGTAGCTGTTCACAATGCGGGGCTAATCTTTTTATAGTTTCACATCATACATATAGGATATATGTTAGGACTTAGGAACTATAACCTAAAACATAGTAATAAAGCATTTCAATTCACCGTTTTCTTCTGTCTTCTATATATAATGCCTGAAATTTGAATAATATCTACAACTTCATTGGTAGTTTTCAGTTCGAAGCCTTATCTTTAAGCGAATACATACAATATCCAGATTTGTAAATCACGCAAACAAGAAATAAACAAATTCATTGCCTTTAGAAGATTGTTACAGCATTACATAATTGTTCCGCGAGGGTGACACACAAGGGATGGGGAGAAGAGGATATGTCAACGTGGATCCTCACTGCCACGATCCTTCTGAATCTGGTTGGCGAGCTTTTCAAGTGCAGAGTGGACAGCCTCACGGCCACCAATGAGTAATCGGGTGACGATTTCAGGGTCGGTCTCGAAGCGGGCCTCTTCGAACTCCTTCCGAGCATTTTGTCGGAGAATATCACGCCAGAGGATGCCGTTGGAGTCAGGCCACACAAAGAATCGGGTGGCGCGAAGAATATCGCGGTAAAGGCTGAGTGCTTCACGGCGAGTGCTGGTGAGTCGCCTCCGATTAATCAATTCTTCTTCTTCGTCGTCAAGGGGCTTATCCTTCTTGACAAGATGCCTATCAAGAAGCTCCTCGATGGTATCTGGGCCCTGATGCAAGAAGCGCTTGCTATCTACGCAGGCACAGGGAGTGCAGAATTTGACAGCAATTGACACGCGTCGCCATATTTGCAGCTTTCCGCTCATTTCTCCGTTCTCACCCACGAAGTCCCTCCCCGTCAGACGGACTGCTTCATCTTCATCTGGAGCATTTCCCAGCGAGGCACGGTGACGGTGGCACGATGCTACATGTTTATTGGTAATTTGGGCTTAGGTTTTGGACCTACCAATAATTTGGACAATTTCACTTTGTGACCCAATCTTAATGGAAATCAGCCCTGCTTCACAATCATCTGCCCCCTAATCTCATTGCTATTGTCATTTGTGAGTACTTGAATCTGCATTACTCATTTTGAATTTTATTTTATTTGTTATATTTTCTAAATAATTTTTTATTTTAATAGATATAAAATTTAAAATAAAGATATTTTTCTAGTTTTCACTTTATGAAAAAATGATTTCTTATAAAAACAATTATACAAATTTATGCCTCAAATCAGTAAAAAGGGGCACAGCATGTCCAGAAGAACTTGAAAATTTTAGAAGTGCAAGGACATTAAAGAGAACAACTTTTTTCCTAGCATGAACCACGTTGTGAAATCCTATCCTAGTAAAACCAGTAAGAAAATGGGTGACATATAAAATAAAATTTTAATTTTAATTTTATTTTTAGATGAATGACATGGCCGTTTTTTAATACTAACTTGCTTAATATTATTGTTACACGAATGCCAGGTTCCGCATCAAGTGTTGCATTCCTCCGGTGGCCGGCACAAAAACCACCGAGAACAACTCATGTCGGCAAGAGAAGAAGGACAGGGGTAGAAATCGAACAATGGGCGACGCCACTCAACTGTAAGCTGGACAGAAGGTCGCTCCAAATCGCTACTTCAGTCATAACTGAAGTTTTGACAAAAAGAGCCAATAGTTTTATGCCTAACGCTCTAATGGAATGAGGGCCGTTCTATAACTGAGAAATTGCGAATTCCATCTCATTCATTATTTATTTATTTTGTAAATAAAAATTTTAGGTGAGTTAAATAGCAAAGACTCACTAGATCATGACCTTATGATTTCTTACTAATTGGACTATAATTCTATCTCACCCTGGTAGTATGATTTCTTACTAATTCTATATTCTATCTCACCCTGGTAGTGTCTCTTTTTAGGATGTGTTTGGATAGAAACCAAACCATGGTTTCAAAAGTGCTTTTACGGATTACGAAGTAAATATGTGAAGAGATTATTTCGTTTTGCGAAAAATGCTTTGAAATTACGGTTTTGGAATACCCAAACAGACCCTTAATCCATAGAAAAGTTATTCAGCCCGATACCAATCCAAATAATAAAATAAAAAACCACCCAACTTGTACCCAAAAATAAAAAAACGGCACTTAGGTTACTGAACTCTGCAGGCGCCGAACAGACCCCGCCAAAACTCGAAAGCAGGGGAGGCGACCTAAAACTTTGCAACGGAAGGAAACGGTCTGCTTCCTTCCATTTCCATCCATGGCCTTCGTCAATCCCAGATTACGCTTCTGCCACTCTCTCACTCGCACTTCCAAATTCTATTCTTCTTCTTCTTCGTCCTTAGCTTTAGTTTCAGAAACTACCCTTCAACAAGAAGGGGATGAAACGCCCCAAAGCACTTCCTTATCCCCCGAAGAAACCCTTGTAGCTGAAAATTTTCATGCTTTAATCAAAGACCATTACCGCAACAACCCCAACCCTAACTCCATTCCACCCACCCCTTATTTCACTATACCCGATCTCTCCCTTGACTTCTCTCGAATAACCGCCCACCGCCCTCCTTCTCCCTCAGTCGTCCGCCGCGTGCTTGATAAGTGCGGCGGCGTCCGTCACGGTATCCCTTTCCTCCAGTCCCTCGCTTTCTTCAATTGGGCCACCACGTACGAGGGTTTTCCCACCGCGCCGGAGCCCTATGTGGAGATGATTGACCTTGCCGGAAAGCTCAAGCACTTCGATTTAGCATGGCATCTCATCGATTTGATGAAAACCCGAGGTGTCCCAATAACCGTCGAGACGTTCTCTTTCCTCGTCCGGCGATACGTGAGAGCAGGATTGGCTGCGGAGGCCGTCCACACTTTTAACCGTATGGAAGATTATGGCTGCACGCCTGACAAGATAGCCTTTTCCATTGTCATTAGTGTTTTGTGCAAGAAGAGAAGGGCAAGCGAAGCTCAGTCTTTCTTTGATAGCTTGAAGCACAGATTTGAGCTCGATGTCATAGTGTACACCAACCTGGTTCGTGGTTGGTGCCGAGCGGGTAATATTTCAGAGGCCGAGCGTGTGTTTGGGGAGATGAAGATGGCTGGAATCAAACCGAATGTTTATACTTACAGCATCGTGATTGACTCACTGTGTCGGTGTGGACAAATCACTCGTGCGCATGATGTTTCTCTGAGATGATAGATGTGGGTTGTGATCCAAATTCCATTACTTTCAACAATCTCATGCGTGTTCACGTCAAAGCTGGAAGGACTGAAAAGGTATTGCAAGTTTACAATCAGATGAAGAGACTTGGATGTCCTCCTGATACGATCACCTATAATTTCCTCATAGAGACACATTGTAAAGATGATAATCTTGGGGAAGCTATCAAGGTTCTCGATTCAATGGTCAAGAAGGGGTGTGCTCCTAATGCCTCTACTTTCAATCTTATATTCAGATGCGTAGCTAAGTTGCATGATATAAATGGTGCTCATAGGTTGTATGCTAAAATGAAAGAACTCAAGTGCCAGCCCAATACCCTGACCTACAATATATTAATGGGCATGTTCAGTCATGCGAGATCTACCGATATGGTGCTCAAAATGAAGAAGGAAATGGATGAGAACGAAGTTGAGCCTAATGTGAATACTTACCGGTTGTTGATCTCAATGTATTGTGGAATGGGGCACTGGAACAATGCGTACAAGTTACTGAGAGAGATGGTAGAAGAGAAGTGCTTAAAACCGAATCAAGGGGTTTATGAGATGGTTCTGAGCGAGCTGAGGAAGGCAGGGCAGTTAAAGAAGCATGAGGAGTTAGTGGATAAAATGGTTGACAGGGGCTTTGTTTCTCGCTCCATCTAGAAGTACTCTTATTCTTTACATTCATGACTACGAGAATTATTCTTCCTACGCTGTCAATGTCATGAGTGATTTGATACACTAGCTTCTTCGATGTGTCATCTTTAAATGGAAGAATTATTTCTTTTTAGTGTTTGAGATTCAAATGGTTGCTCTTGCGCTACCGCGCTACGATGCTGCTTTAGCCAAGACTCGTAGCGAAAGCGGACCTGGTCAAGAATCACAGTCCCACTTAAACCTTGTATACGGAAGTTCCCTCTGTCACAAGGCAATTTTTAAAGTTTCTGCGTTTGTAGAATCATCTATCTGCGTAAGGAGGGTGAACGCTTCATCCGATTTCCAGATTGATATTTTATATATAAAAAGTCATAATTGAAGATATGAAATTGAATGTGCATACATACTGAAAAATTTTAAAATTTTGAAACTATTCAAAAGTAACATGGATCAAAAGTTTAAATTGTGCAGAACATATATAATTATAACTTGAGTTAAAATTTTTGGTTGGATAATGAATTGAACATTTATTAAGTCACTAGGATTAAAGAATCCCTATTCTTTAGGATTACACTTTTGTTGTGATTCACGTGGACGGATTGGAGCTTGGTTAGAGTCGCTAACCGAGTTACTAAGGGAGCAATTTGGTCCGGACATACAAAAAATGGTGGGAAACATGGAATATACCAAGTCACAATTTTATATTCAAAACATATCCAAAGTAACCTGATTCTAGCCCGAGTAGTCCATCTACCTCCTCTTTCAGGTTTCCGTATCCTTGTTGATTAAATTCTTCAGGGCAACTGAACTCAAAGTACTGAAATAATGGGGCAATAAGCATTAAAATAACAAGCAATAAACTGTGAGCGGCACACAAGCTAAACAGAAATAGTAACTGTCATGGATACAAGAAATCAATCTGCTTGTCTCCCTTTTCTTTTCTTCTATTTCTGTTCCCTTGCTACCTGGAAATGCTATGCATGTCAACGGACATTGAGAGTAAGATAGCTCTGTTGGGGAGATTTGCTCTTACGTACCAATCCATCAGCTGTGACCTTGCATGTCAAGCATTTCATCCAGTCGTTTCAATCTTTCCAATCCATCACTAACCAAATAACGGATCCTTTGCTTGTCCGTGCAGTTTCTATTATTTTCCACCTCTTGTCTAATTGTCTGTCTCAATTCAGCTGTCCAGTCCATTGCATCCATAAAAAATAAATAAACAAATAACTTATCACTCAAACTAAGTCAAAGGACCATATATATATAAATAATCTAAGAGGAATCTTTACCAACATTATATATTTTTATCAATGTCAATTATCGCAATCATACAGAATAAGGACAATATCACTTAACCACATTCTCTTCTTCAGATTCTCGATACTCTCTCGAGACAGGCCACAAGTTATCCAAATTAGGGAACCAAATAATCTAATGAAAGCATTTCATCCACAATAACTTTCCTGAAAAATCCCTCTGTTTATCTCATCGGGCACTCACACTTGTTCAAACACGTTTTAGTAAAAGAAAAGTCATGTCATTATATCCCAAAAATCGCGACTCATGGCATGAGTTCCTGACCAATCATCCTATAGTAAAAACTTAGCCTGTGCTTAATTGCCTATTGAAACCCCTACCATAAACATTACTATGAGAATGTCAAGTGAAGTGGTGAAGTAATCATTCGAAAGTCCCAATTAATGGTACCGGATGGCCAACAAAACCATCAACAATCCCAAAAACACACCCGATGTAGAAGCCAACAAGTTATACTTCCACTATAAACTCGCAATCCTAAGAATTGTTCAAATAAGATTACGCACTTCTAGCAGAAGAGGGGGCTCGCCGAGCACTTCTCAAAGCTTGCCTGTAAAGTTTCAAGACTCGAGCCCGAAGAATAAAGTCCTGCAGATCCATGGAGAGAGCTATCCAATGTCTACCTAAACATATTCCCAAAATTGAAAAAGGTGACTTGATTGACGAAGCACAAAACCGTATCACATAACAACTGCAATATCAAACGGAACTGGTAAAAGCCAACGGGGAACTACGTTGGGCTCAATTTGCCCAAGCAACTCAAGTATGGATTCAAGACGGAGCACAGAATACCAACTAGTCCAAAATGTAGACAAAAACATGCAGACGCGAATCAATTTCGAATTTATTTACACACTAAAAGCCGAAAAAGAGTGAGAGTGCCCTCATTTGCAACTTTTCGCAAACACATGGTGTGCTTTCAGCCATCCAGCAAGCAAATGCCGAAATGAAAGGCGGAAACTCAGAGTACCCTCTCCAGAGAAAACAAGAAACACGACAATTCAATGAAATCAATACACAAAATGGAAGCGCCACGTCTTGAGTGGAGCCAGTGTCCCGGAATGGTATGGAAGGAAAAGAAATATATAAGACATATTGCTCGGCATTTGGTTTCAGTTGCTTCGTTATTGTAAATTGGGGAAAAGAAATTGAAGGGTAATAAAGAGAAACATACTCCTGAAGGGTCAGGGGCACCGTCGCTGCCACTGTGCTGAGAAAGGAAAACAGGCAAAGAGGAGGTCCAATACAGGCGAGCACCGACTGAAAAGGCGAAAACAGAACGATGACCATGTCATCTGACAATGGTTATATTTACTACATTTTCTAAATTACAACTATAATATAAAAATAGTGCTTTTTTATTGTTATAACTCACGTAGATAACACTTTTTACAGAGAATTTACACTCACAATCACACGTTTAAGAAAGATTTGGAGCGAGAATTGAGTTAGAGAGCTCGAACAAAATATCTCTGTTTTAAACTTATTATTTATATTTGTCTAAATGCACGGGTATTTAATAGTCATAAAAAATCTAAATCATACACTCACTATCCAAATTGAATTTTCAAAAGTTAATGCTATGGGTTGTCGGAAACCAAAGGCTCTTCATCCTGCACATTTGGTTTTCAAATCATTATTTTTAATTTTGTTTTCACAAAATATTAACCTTTGAATTTGATTTTTCATTTTATTTCTATCACTAATATCAAATGACAAAACAAATATCACCAATAATAATAACAGTAAATAAAAAATATTATTAAAATTTAATTATATAGAAATAACCTAAAAGGGAATGTAAAAACCGAAATGAAATGATTAGGGCTTTAATATTAAAACCTAGAAAGAAAAATGATAAATAATAAATTAAACAGGCGTAAATTGACCAAGTTTTAAATGAGCAGATTTTTTAGCTTGATCCACCTTTTTATTAATTATATTAAAAGTGGCAACTGGCAACTAAATTAAATAATTGGGAAACCTAATCTCATTCGCTGAACCTATGGGCTTTGCATCCCAAGAGAGAAATTAATCTGTGTATAAATGATTTTGATTTTTGACAGTGTTCAAATAAATATCGCAAGATAGGATTAGAAAAAGAAAAAAAATAAAAAGGAAATCGATATTAGTAGTTTCGTTATCCATCAAGAGCAAGTGGGCAATCCACCATGCATGAGATCTTTGAAGTGGCAGCTAATTAAATTAAATTATTTTACGGATTCAAATTGCTCCATCATGGAAAAAGTCATGACAGCAATTAATTTAATCGTACGTCAGCATTCAACTATTCATATGATATTTTTTTTTACTTCAGTTGAACTGTTCATGTGGTATGAATATATATGGTATTAGGAGGAGCACTTTAAACTCTGAATTGTTCATATTTTATTTAGATGGTTCAGATTTGATTTTTTTTAATTTATTCAAAATAATTATTTTAATATATATAGAATCTAAAATAGAGATAATTTCTTAATTATCATTTTTTTCAAAAAATAATTTTTTATTTAAAAATAATTAATTAGAGATTTTAAATTTGGACTGTTCAAATTAACTATGAACGATCCAGATTTGATGAACTTAGAGTGTTCATCAAGATAATCAGTACTGAAACTGGTTTTGAATATATAGGCCATATTTAAGGGAAGAGAAGTGAGAAATGGACGTTTGATTAATTACATAAAGATTTTAAGCGGGGAATAAGGCGGCAAGTCCACGTGAAATTGCGACTAGTGGTTTCTCATTTATTGGCATATTTCTATATTTCCAACTATATAACATTTCATCATAGATTTAGAAAATTTCCACCTATATTTATATATAAAAACTGTGTTATTTGTAAATTATGAATAGCATGTCATGCTTAAACTCTGCATTAATAAAAAGGAGTCTACATTAGGATTATTGATGCCTATAAAAAAATTTTCATAGACGATAATACGTACTGTCTATCTCATAATCAGTTCTATTTCCTTTTCGATCACTTATTGAGCTATATTTAATTGGTGAAGACTGATGATAAAGAGGGTTTGCCCCAGTCATTCCTACTTGATCTGACCCAAACCCCTCCGTGTCATCCTTGACAAATTCAAACTATGTAAACAAATTTACTTGATCAACATGGTCCTTTCGATGCTGTAACTTGCTCCGCATCTATATAATAACGATCCATTTCGAACTGGGAATCAAAGAAATGTCGAAACAACAAGAGCTAAAGAAGATATTGAAGACACTACTGCCCAAGGCAGTAACAGGGGCACTGACATTTCAGAACCACCCGTTCAGCCCAAGGAGGGATCACCAAGTTGTTCACAAATATCATAAACATGGTGGTCCGAAGGGATCAATAATGATGATTCCCGATGAAGCTAGAAGAAGGAGATCCAAGTATGGAAGCTCAGGCAATGGAAGTACCAGATCTCTTGAACCCACTTCACCAACCGTGTCGTGCATGGGACAGATCAAGAACAAGAAGCGCCAGCATCGGCAACGCGTTAAGAAAGCCAAATCCAAGCGTATAACGCTCCCCAGTAGTGTACAGAAATCGAGGCCACTTATCAGAAGTGTGTCGAAGGCTAAGAATAAGAAGCAAACGTCGACGTTTAGGAGGATATTCTGGAGAGATCAGAGGAAATCGTCCCGTGCTGCGGAGGTTGACGGCGGATCAGCCGCCGTAGCAGCGCCGGAACTTAGCCAGATGAAGCGGTTTGCAAGTGCACGTGGCGCTTTGGCTAATTTTGATTGGAAGGCTCATGTGGTGGCGCCGGAGGATGATGAAGACGATGAGACCCTAATCTCATTCTCTGAGCCCATTGTAGCTTTGCAACCAAAGACAAATTAATCTGTGGAAGAGACGAAACATGGCTCCTCCGCCGCCTCTTCGATCGAATCCTCGGCCACCACCAATCTGATAATTTCTTTTATATGTATTCTGAGTTGTGTTTTTGCTTTTCATGGTTTGTTTTCATTATCGTTTACGTTCTGCGCTGCACCTTGTCAGGATGGGGAATGGGGTTCCGTATGTACAAATGATTTTTTTTTTTTACCTTGATGTATAAATGATTTTGAAAGTTTACAAATTATTACCACAGGATTGGATTTAATTACATTAAAAAAAACAATCGATGTTAGTGGCTCAAACATATTTTTAAAGTTCCCTTGAAAAATGGAACTGGTTTTAGGGTTGCTTGATAAGAAAGTGATAATTAATTCGCGAGATAATTAACGGATCAGGGATGCCACCGATTCATAATAAAATCAGTCAAATTAGCTAAATCGATCGATATTTGTCAAGATAAATTAGTAAATATTTGACTTGATGGTTGATGCAAGCTAGCAAGTTATATCCTGAGATGAAGACCCCTTACCCCCACACAATTTCATCAAGACGATGAGCGCTAAAGTGGAATTGGCCAAAAAAAAATCTAATGGTCATCGTATGCTAATAAATACTCATAATTTATAGTATTTAGACGTCTCTCCTGAAAACAAAATTAAATTTGGATTTAGACTGTGAACATGATCACTTGAGTATAGCTATAACTAAAACTCATTAATATAGTTAATATATATCCAAAACTGTTAGTTATAATTAGCAATTACCAACTCTTATTTATTTGCTATATTGTAGGAAAAATTAGCTATTTCCTTGTATCTGGACATGAAAGATATAATCAATTAATGCTGCTGAATTTACTAGACGGAAGATATTTGTACTTACGTAGGACGGACCACCTCTCCACTAAAATATTGAGATAGTAGTATGTAATACGTATCGATGGTTTCTTAATACATCATTTATGGGGGATGGTCATATTAGAGTAAACATGTAGTAGCCGTAATAACGGAAAACTCCCCAAATTTTCTGGGCAGAAAATGACCCTTCGATGTTAATTACTCCCTATATATTCTTCCTTTATCTCAATGATTAATCACAAGAATGAAAATTTTTGTTGTCAATCATAATGCTGCAGGCCCATATTTTGCACCGTGAGATGATAAGTTACATCATACTTTTTTGGCTTTATTTATAGGACAGAGGGAGAGAAAACATTTTTTAGTTATATTTATAGGACACTAAAAGAAATTTTTTATACGGATGTATAATTTTATTTTTTATTTATTATTATGTTGATTTTATTTACGTGAAGTATAATGTATATTAAATAGTAATAAAGTTGAAAATTTATTAAATTTTGAATAAGAATTAATAAAATTTAAAATTTGTTTATCAGTATAAAATATATTAAAAATAATTTATAAATAAGAGTAAAAAAACATCATATATATCAGAGTCCAGAAATAACACGACTTTCAATAGTTTCTCATAATACACACATATATTTGGACGACAATCAATCACGCCCAAGTGAAAGCACTCATGAATCGGTAGCTCAATTGGATGACAATCGATCATGGGCCCCCTCGCCCGCCCGCCCGCCCTTCCCCTCCCCTTGTCCTATGATTTCGTTCAGAAAAAAGTGAATTGCGAGATACGCGATCCAGCAATAACAGTTTGAACCGTACAGTTCTTTTAATTAATAAGAATATTCTCACCATGTCATGTACTCTTGTCGCTGATATAAGATACTACTATCTCTAGATCCAAGGGTTAGATAACAGATTTATGAATATTAAAAAAATAATAATCAAGTTAATCAATAATAAAAAATTCAGAAATTTGGAAAAAAATAAATAAATTAATCTCTTATATTTAACATCAAAATAAATACTCAAACTTTAGGACCGTGGAAAGCATGTTTAATCAATTATATATATATATATATATATATATATATGAGAACTCATAAATGGTGAAGAGGAGGATAAGACAAAGGTTTGGATTGGGCCCGGGGTATGGAGGAAGATGCAAATGTTGGCTTTTGCAGGATTAGCCTCCGACATTAAACTTACACGCCTCTCCCCGTAAGGAGTAACTTAATCTCCCCAGTTTCCTTCCTCATTCTTAGACGCTACGCATTCCTTTCTTTGTCATTATTCCAACCCTTATTTCAATTATTAATCTCTCATTTAAACAATTCATTTCAGCCGAGAATATTTCTTACAATATGTGCCTATTTTCTTTAAATGAATATTAGTACTACGAATAATGGCCACTAATGGGCACCAAATCAGAGGCTAGTGATTGGGGCTTGCGGTGCACAAAAGAAACACATAGCTGGTGTAATATTGCTAGTATTAATTAACTACCTCGCAGTGGGAGGTTATATTGTAACGGGCAATTAATATATCACGTAAAGCAATGGGCACTACCAAATACGCTTGGTCTCACATATGATTGGAGCAGCCGAGGCCGGGTCAGAGTCCTACATCAGCAGCAGCTGTAATATATGGTGCTTTGAAGTAAAGTGAATGTACTTGGAGTGAAGTGAGAGGCTGAAACCACATATAAAAGAGGCGGGTGGCTTTCATTGTAAGCTTGCTGTATTGGTAAAGGGATAGATAGCTAGATAGCTATTTGCTTAGCTAGCCGAGAGTGAAGTAGTGCGTAGGAGAGGTGGTGATCGATCGGAGAAGGCGACATGGAGGGATTGAAGGGAGGGTTGAGTCACCTGTTGATGATGGTGTTTCTGCATAACTTCTCGTCCTTCATGGTGGTTCCGGCCATCACCGACGTCACCATGGCCGCCCTTTGCCCCGGACAAGACGAGTGCTCTCTTGCTATTTACCTCACTGGTTTTCAGCAAGCGGTCAGTTCTTCTCCTTACTTATCTCCTTCCTTCTTTACCATATATCCTACTATATTCTCCTTCTTTGTCTTCTCAGCTTTTGTTTTAATATTAATCTAACCTTAAACCACATTTGTATCTTTAATTTGCTCATTAATTAATCCATGATATGCTGTCATAAGCATCGTGCCTGTTGCTATTTGCTTGTAAGAGGGTGTGCCTCAATCAACGAACCAGCTAGTGTTTCGTCGGAACTGTGCGTTTCCTGTTCTGCTGCACCAGATTAGTTAATGAATAGCATGTCTCCAATAATACATAATAGAAAAAAATTAATGGACAGTATGGCTTATTCTCTGTTAATTTACTAACTCACATGTATAATTAAAGTGGCCTTTAAGTGAATGAGAGAATAACGACACATGGACTAAGAGAATATAAGAAATGTGTTCCCCCCCCCCCCTCTTCATGCTTTTAATTTTTTCCCCTAAAGAAATCAAAGTCAGAGGAACTTTACTTTTCTTTAACTTGAAAAAATGTAATACACACACACATATCGGTTTAAAGTGAAAATAATGATGGTGATATTAAATCACAATGAAAGTGATGTGGCATCTACTGATTTTGAATATCTAGAGTGTAAGTTAACTATGAAATATAAAATGTACGCATGGATTAGCATGGCCTCATATATTTTATAAATTATATAGATATACGAATATTAGCAAGGAACAAAAAACCGGACCCGACACTAAACCGGTTGAGGTAGTGGTTCAAGAGTTAATGGGTCAGACGGGGGTTAACTCGGGATCAAACCGGTCATATTAAAATAATTTAATTTAATTAAAAATGACAAAATATAACAATAATAGTAATTACTAATAACAAAATATAAAGAAATACAATAAGAATTTGATTGTAATAATAATAAAGTACAACAATATTGAGAATTTTGATCTTTATAATTTTTTCAATAACTAAAATTAATAGTTATTGATGCCAAACTCATCATCAAAATTCATTTAAATCTATAATAATTGAGATATTAGGAGTTAAATGAGAAAAAATAGGATAAATATTAATATATTTATTTAAACCGGTTCAATACCGGTTCATACCGGTTTTCACCGGTTCACACCGGTTTGACCAGTTCAATCCGGTTTGAACCGGTCCCCGATTTAGCTTATGAACCGGACCGGACCACTGACCGGTTTACCGGTTGAACCGGCCGGTCCGGTCCGGTTTTTTTTACACTGAATATTAGCATCAATATAAGATCTTTTTTATTAATTATATAATTTAGGAAAAGTTCCATCTAATTCTATTCTGCAAATCCTCTAAAAGGCGAGACATCCCCTTCGATACAGGAATTACGTCCCTCATCGTTTGTCCGTTTCAAAGAAATTTCCATCCAATTTCTTTCGTGTCCGGTTTTTAACACCATTTTCTTCAACGGTCAACTAACAATTGAAAAGGGTGGCCCACCAATCCCTCCCCGGTTTCTACGAGGGGCAGGGGCACCGTACACTATAATGCTCTCCCTCACTCTGTAACTTTCGGGTCCCACATTCCTTCTGCTCCGCTTTCGCTTTTCGTCGTTTCTTGATCTTCCTTTGCGCCTTGCGGCTTGTTCACCGTACACGGGACGCCCTTGCTTTTATTATGTACGCCTTTTTGGTGGGCTCCAAACCCAATTGACTCTTGTTCTATAAGACCCCAGGCCCGGCCCAATACAACATACCCCAAAACGCCAAAACTCCTAATGTCTTTAGCTTCTAAAATTATAAAAAAAAAAAGAGAGAGAGAGAGAGAGAAAAAACACTAATTCAATAATTTCTCACAAGGTTGTTTCCTTCACTGGCCAACCCACTACTGCATGTTCTGTCTCCTGTTCACTCACTTGGTCATTTCCAACGAGCTAACGCATTACATTGATTCTACCTTCTTCTTAATCCTAACTTCATCATTATACAAACTTTAAGTCGTGTGATTGCATTGGAGCAGGTCATAGGACTGGGAACGCTCGTGATGATGCCTCTGTTGGGCAATTTCTCTGATATATATGGCAGAAAGGCTATCCTCACAATCCCCATGACTCTCACCATTCTTCCTTTAGGTATCTCCGCTTTATTACGTGCTTCATCATTCATAGTATTCGTACGAGGAGTCAGTTAACAAATACCCAATGTCGTTTCACTCTCTTGATCATGTCTGGTTCTTGTGACAGCCATATTAGCTTACAGCAGGACACAGAAATTCTTCTACGCTTACTACGTCTTCAAGACTCTCGTTTCCATGATTTGTGAAGGAAGTGTCCCTTGCCTCGCTCTAGCTTATGTGGTAAACCGGCTTATTCTTAGCTCTCACCTGCGAGATTTTAAAAATGCAGGAGATTTTTGTTTTTGACAATCAATAGTTTTATTTCAGGCGGATAATGTGAGCGAAGGGCGTCGAGCTGCTGCATTTGGAATCCTTACGGGTATTGGATCCGCTGCATTCGTCTGTGGCACCTTATCGGCTCGATTCCTTACCACTGGCCACACTTTCCAGGTGACTACTTACTCTTTTCTCCGCGAATCGCATCCTACTTTTCTATTTTATCAATCATCATAATGTTCCTGCGATAGGTTTCTACTCTTGTGGCGGTGATCGCAGCGGCGTACATGAGACTGTTCCTTCCGGATTCAATCATCGATCAGAATCTTTCTACTCCACTCACTTCACAAGCAAAGCTCAAGACTCCCAAAATCGATGCCCTCCCAAAATCAAATGTGAATCCCTTTAAAACATTGCCTTCCTTGAAGGACTTAACCTCATTGCTGGGCAGCAGGTGTGTCACTTTTCATTGCCTTACTTTCTCTTCCTTTCGCCCTCAAGTTTGAGGCCTACTTTTTCAGATAAACTGCTTGTTTCATTGGTTAATTATTTTGCACGCAAGTTATAAGAGTGAGCATTCCTCCTGTGTTTTTTGTAGAACGTTGTATAGTAAGAAACGGGAGTCTATGTACTGTGTGTGATAATTGTATATGTTCAATCCAAATTGCAGCTTGATTGTTACGCAAGCAGCAATTGTTGCATTTTTCAACAACCTTGCCGATGTTGGACTTCATGGTTCATTAATGGTACTTTCTGATTTTCTTCCTTCTTGCTCTTCTGATCTACATATCCTATATAGGGCAGTGGTGATAAATCTTTTTTGTGCAGTATTACTTAAAGGCTCGGTTTCATTTTGACAAGAATCAGTTTGCTGATTTAATGGTCATTACCGGAATTGCAGGGACTGTTTCACAGGTTGTTCTTTTGTGAACCATCCTTAACCATTTGCATCTATTTCTTTCTTAGTCTTCAGTTTCCTTTATTTTGCTGTGAATCTAAACATTAAACACTGCCACAGCTTCTTCTTATGCCCATTCTGGCTCCAACTTTGGGAGAGGCAAGGCTGCTTTCAATAGGACTTTTTTTCAGCTGTCTACATGTGAGCATATTTTTAATTTCTGTTCAATCATATGAAGTCAACGCATTTGTCAAGTTATCAATTATAATATGTGTATTGGAATGCAGATGTTCATTTACAGCATTGCTTGGGCTTCCTGGGTACGTATTTTACAACGTCAATGCCAATAACAATTTTTTTTCTCTTAATTTCGTGCTATTACTAAGTATTAACATTTTGAAAATCAACAGGTTCCTTATGCTGCTGCCATGTTCTCAGTGTTAATTGTTTTTGCACATCCTTGCGTGAGTTTCTTTCTCAACTTGTCTTCTTAATGTATTCCTTTCATTGAATAAATATTTCTTTCTCTTGTCTCTGAACAAACTATTTGTTCAAAGCTTGAATTTGTCCAATTCATGTTGCAATTTGCAGATGCGCAGTCTCGTATCCAAACATGTTCGTCCCTGTGAGCAGGTTGGTCTGTTAAACTAAGTACCAATACTTGTTCATTAATATTGAATTATTAGGACAGTGTACTGTTGTTGAATCAGTTAAATTCATGGATATGCGATATCCCCTCTTAATCTTGTTTGTGGCATGGCAATCAAATTCAAAGGTCATCTGAAAGCTGGCCTGAGACAGAGGAATTTGATTCACCGCAATATTTGCCCCACATATATAATGCTGATCTACCTGGTTTTCATTCAGGGAAAGGCTCAAGGTTGTGTTTCGGGTGTTTGTTCATTTGCGCATGTTGTTTCTCCTTTGGCTTTCTCTCCTTTGACAGGCAAGTGAAATGTCATTATGTTGTACTAGGTTTCAGTTGCTGTTGAAATCTATTAACAGAGCAATTTCTCCCCTCATTTTGCAGCTCTCTTCCTGTCTGAAAGGGCACCTTTCAACTTTCCTGGCTTCAGTATAATGTGCATTGGATTTGCTTCGGTAAGGCTATTATTGGAAATACCAACTCGTTTTTTTTTTCTTTCCGGATATTGGAAATCAGAGTCCTATGATTATTTGTGTCTTGTACTGGGACAAAGTTAGTGAGCTTCAAGAGCTACAAATCTTGTGTCTGGAATCTAGATTTTAATTCCTAATTTGTCTATGCCAGATAAGGAATCTATAATATTTATTGTTTATTTTATGGAATTTCCACGAAGAGACAATATTTGTTTATTTTAGCTCAGGGGGGTGAGATCGGTTATAGGCTTTTATCACTTATGGCCGAGAAGATAGACTGAATCCCCCGAGTTTTTCATATCTTCGATATTTAGCGGTGAATTGGTCCAAACAATCACATCCTAACTTGCCTGATTTCTTAAGGAATTTACGGGGTAAGATAAAGCTGCTCCTTTGATGTCAAAATCAATTGGCTAATTGACCTATAGGGCATTAACTCCCGACAAAATTCATTCATTGACCTGTCGTTGTCCTTGTTTCCATTTCGTCAATACTACTATGATATCTACTCTTAATAAGGAACTAAGCAAAATCTCGACAAGATTTTGAATAATGAATCTCATGCATTTTCCTCTCATTTCGATAGTATTCATATTACCCTGTATCAGTTTTTCATTTACCTCCATATGACTCTGTTTTCCTAAATGAATTTTGTTTGCAGATGGTCGCTTTTGTTCAAAGTACGTTCATATGGAGGGCGCCCCCCATTTCAAGTGACGTGAACGGAAATTGCTTGGAGCCCTAATTCTAAAGATTATTATCATCATCATTATTTTCTCAAAATGTGCAAAACACCCCACCTGGCTTCTTCCTTGCCTGGCTGTGTGGTGGTTCGTATCATTTCAGTGGCAGTGGCTGTTATTTGTCCCAACGTCACCTTCAGCTAAGTTTTTGAGAAAGAAACAAGATGTTTAAGTTCATGCAGTGTCGTAATTTTTCCGGGTACTGAATAGTCTCGCTCTGTCTGGGATTCGGATGAAAAAAATTACGAACATTAAATGTTGGTTTTTTACGGTCATAAGCGTTTTGGATGTGTTCCAGTTCAGGAACTGTAATCTGAATCCCAGTGTAATCCCTTACTTCCCTTTCTGTCTTTATATTTGTGGAAAGGGTGAAAGCATAAGCATTTGGTCCGTTACATTTGTGTCAATTTTAGATTTATTAGCAAAATTAGTCCAAAGGATAGGCATTTCGTTGATGCTTTATTGTAGAAGTGAGTGGTCCTTTTATCCCAAAATATATTGGGAAAAAAAGGTGGGTGGTCCATCATAGATTCTCGTGTTCAATTGTGCCCTTTATGATGTTTAACCATTTTCGTTTTCTAGCTTCTGCTCAAACGTTATTAGTACTAGCAAAAGAGATAGTCTGACTTCACTTAAAAAAAAAAAAGATAGTCAACCTGGAGCTATGTAATGATATAAATAATAACTGTAACAAATTTTCTCAAGAGAATTGCAATGAGATCTTAAAAAAAAAAACTACAAAACAAATCTTAAAAATTATATTTTTTTTATTTGACACGTATCATTATAAACTGTTTAGGTTATTATTGGGATTTTTTAATAATTATTTTTCTTTCTTGAACCTCATTATATTTCTCCTTTTTGTTTTTCTATTATACCATTTTACACAATTTTTCATTTTCTATTTTATTTTCAGCTAAAAAGTAAAAAAGTCCATTTAAAAAAAAGGCACAGTTACCATAATTGCTGACTTTGACTTTAGATGTCTATTTTATTAGCAAAACCGTTAAGGAAAAAAAAGCACACGGGCTGAACATGAGTGCACGACATGGATTAAGAAATTGATGAAGCATTAGATTGAGAGGATCCATGGCAGTTCAATCCAAGGAGACACGCTGGATTGATGCTTTCACGTCAGTTTTGGATCTATAAAAATGAATCTTGAAAAGTAAGACTTAAAAACGCGTCACAAATCAAACTTCTCCTTTGGTCCTCGTAGGAATCTTTCTCTTTTTGGAAGACGCAAGATTAATAATTATCAATCGAAGCTTGTACTTGATCCTTCTAAATATGACTCCAATCAATGTCGATGCAACAGCAGAAATCCTTTCTTGTGTATTTTTTTCACTTCATCACACCAAGAAAGTAGTTTTACATTTTAACCAGAACACGTTTGCGTTAGCATTTTCCCTCCACGTGTTGATCCAAAGGGAACAGAATGAGAGCGTATATATTCAATCCCCGAGAAGAGTAGTTGCGGCCTTCGGTTTTGCCGTTGGCTCTTCGTCGGAGAAAATGTCCCACTGGTGAAGCCGCCTGGCCGTTTGCGCTCTGCATTCCTCACGACGTACGCCAATCTCAGAGGGTCTAAACACATCACATCTTTCTGCGATTTAAGATTGGAGGTTACAATATTTTGATCAAGTTAACGCTTCAATGGTGGGAGATAAATCGGACAACGTGGTCTACCTTCATGGGGACCTTGATTTAAAAATTCTTGAGGCTCGCTGTTTGCCAAACATGGACTTGTTGTCGGAGCGTATCAGTCAATTCTTTTCCCTCTTCAACTCCTGCACAACTTCATTTTCCGGTAGACGGAAGCCCCATCGTCATAGACAAATCATTACCAGCGATCCTTACGTAAAAGTTTGCCTCGCCAAAGCTACGGTGGCTCGCACTCGTGTCATCTCCAACTCGCAGAATCCAACGTGGAATGAACATTTCAAAATCCCTCTCGCTCATCCCGTCTCGCGGGTCGAGTTCTACGTCAAGGACAATGACTTGTTCGGCGCTGATCTCATCGGAGTCGCTACCGTCTCTGCCCAGAGAATCTTATCTGGTGAACCCATCAGCAATTGGTTCCCCATACTTGGTTCTTATGGTAAACCGCCAAAACCAGATTGTGCCATTCGTCTTGAGATGAAATTCACGAAATGTGAGGATAGTCCACTGTACCATTACGGAATTTCTCCCTATCCGGACCGCTTCATGGTGCGGGATTCTTATTTCCCGGTGCGTCATGGAGGATCGGTGACGTTATATCAGGACGCACACGTTCCAGAGTCGATGTTGCCTAAAATTGAATTGGAGAATGGTACTTTCTTCCAGCATGGCCGATGTTGGGAAGATATATGTCATGCAATTTTAGAAGCGCACCATTTGGTTTACATTGTGGGCTGGTCCATCTACCATAAGGTGAAGCTGGTGAGGGAGCCGACGAAGCCCTTACCTAATGGTGGCGATCTAAGTTTGGGTGATTTGCTAAAGTACAAGTCAGGAGAAGGTGCGCGAGTTTTATTATTGGTTTGGGATGATAAGACTTCACACAGCAAATTTTTCATTAATACGGTATAACTTTTCTGATCAATTTTTTTTTTAATGTTCAGTTGACGTTTGCTTGAATTAGCATATCTAGTGGTTCGTTCTGTTTTTGACACAGTAAATATACTTGTTTTCTAACTCTTTAAGATTCTCACTTGAATTTGAATTCAGTAAACACTCCTTTAAAGGTGAAATTATATCTTTCCAATAGCGGCGATTCAATTTAAAATATAGATTTGATGTTAGTAGTGGATTCATGGATTTATTCTTCTCGTGACAATTGTATCTAGTAGCCCATGTTCTGCTCGAGTACGATCAATTGCCAATATCTTCTCATTTAATATGTGGAGTCTCATTAGCCAAAAGTTTCCACCAATATTTAGTCTAAAGAGCCAACATGATGGTATCTGACTTTTGGTATCTAGCGCATTAAATCATGTTCATATTTTATATAAGAATTCAGCTATTGTTGCCCTTATATTTTTTGGTGGGGTTTTGCACATGCAAGCTGCTTGAACAGAGGAATACTGGTTTGGGGCCATTTAGCAGTTTCATTTCCAGTTCACTTGAATCCATATGGTGCTTGTTTTGCTTTCTACAACCTTACATGTCAAATATATACTTGCAGGATGGAGTAATGCACACTCATGATGAAGAAACCCGAAAATTTTTCAAACACTCATCGGTTTTATGTGTGCTGTCACCTCGATATGCCAGCAGTAAGCTTAGCCTTATCAAACAGCAGGCATGCTTTATTAGCTTTTTCCATATCTTGTAGTGTTTGTCCCAGAAGGTTCCTCCATATTTTCATCATGGTTTTATACCCTGTACTCTGTCAGTGTGACCGTATCAGTATATGTCAATGAACATATGGAGGTTCCTTCAGTTTATTTCATATGGCGCAAAGTCCAAACCTGCATGTGTCACTCGGCTGTTCTATAAACGATCTGCCTAGGGGGTCCTAATATAAAATTATACTGTATAGCTATTGAAAACCTGCAGACTTGCGGGCACTTCATAATTTGTGAGACAAATTTCAGGTTGTTGGAACCCTCTTTACACATCATCAGAAATGTGTGATTGTGGATACTCAAGCACCAGGCAATAACCGCAAGATAACTGCATTTATAGGTGGTCTAGACCTGTGTGATGGCCGGTATGACACACCTGAGCATCGACTTTTCCGGGATCTTGACACTGTTTATAAGGATGATTATCACAACCCTACGTTTCCTGTAAGTATATCATCTCCCAGCAAATGTTTACATTGGCAGTAAGTTGTATATTCCCATTAGAAAGGAGTCAAAGGATGTAATAATGATGGATTGATGGGGTGAGCGGGAAGAGAGAAAGAGACGCAGTTGGTAGCCTCTGGAATGACAGGCTAATCTGGGATCATTTTTTCTATAAGTAGGTGATCGTTATTCTGTGTTGAGTGTTGTGCTTTGTTTATGTATTGCAAACTCTGTGTCTTGGGTTAATGTGCTACTTCCTTATACAACATTTGAATGAAAGAGCAGTATTCAGTATTGTTTCATTATATGACACATAAAGTTACACAGATATGATATTTCCAATCCTGATCTGGTTCATTTCCCTTTAATTAAAAATATCAATTTGATTAGTTGTATCAGATTGATTATTGGCTACTATATTCATGTATTGTATTGTGAGCTGATAATCCTGTTGGCCTGGTGTATTAAAATCCTTATGTAATGTTTTGGGTTCAGTTATTATTATTACTTGATGGTTTGTACAAAGTTGCAGTAGTCAACTGATGGTAAAAGGTTCATGCTGTTCCTTCCTCTTAAACAGCAAGGTTCATTTTTGTTCAATATCTTGCAGGATGCTAATATGATTCCACATCTAACCTTATAAGCATCTTTCCTTGTCTAAATTTTTAGTGAATTATCTGAGAATGCTAGTGCAAACTACCAAGTGGAATTTCTTTTTCCTTTCATTTAAATAATAGGTTGGAACGAAGGGTCCAAGGCAACCATGGCATGATTTGCATTGCAAAATTGAGGGACCTGCCGCATATGATATACTTACTAATTTTGAGCAACGCTGGAGAAAAGCCACCAAGTGGCGCGAGTTGGGTCAAAAATTTAAAAAAGTATCTCATTGGCACGATGATTCTTTGATAAAGCTAGAACGCATCTCTTGGATTCTTAGTCCTTCTGCATTTACTCCAAATGATAATCCAGATCTATGGGTTTCAAAGGAAGAAGATCCTGAAAACTGGCGTGTTCAGGTTAACTAGTTTACAATCTTTGAAGTTTCTCCTTGCTCCTTCTTTCAACCGGGAATTTGTTTACTTGAATTCATTTGTTTGACAGATTTTTCGATCAATAGATTCAGGCTCATTGAAAGGATTTCCTAAGGATGTGTATGAAGCGGAGGCTCAGGTTACTTTAATAGGATCAAATAATCTGCCATCAAACTTGGTCTTTGACTACATATATTACACATGAAACTGAGATTCCATTTCAAACTAATTTCCATTTTATTTATTGTTGCAGAATCTTGTTTGTGCAAAAAATTTGGTCATTGACAAAAGTGTACAAACGGCATACATACAGGCTATCAGATCTGCTCAACATTTTATTTACATTGAGAATCAATATTTTGTTGGATCGTCTTTTGCATGGCCATCTTACAAAGAAGCAGGTTTGGTAGAACATTGATGTCCACTTTTGTCACTGGCAATTTCTTGTAACATTTACTTTAATAGCTAAAACAAGTTATTTGGCTAGGATGCAAATAATGCATTCTGGTTTTTTGACCTTTGTTTTGCTTCTTATATTTCCCATACTGTGCTTGCCTTCTTGTGAGTCTTTTTAAGGGCATAAATTCTATTTTGGGAGCAAGGAATTATCAAGAAGTTTTGAGATTG